GGGCTGGGGATTCGAACCCGCCACCTTAGGTGTACGTGGCTGGCGCCTTAGCCAGTTGAGCTATAGGCGCCGAGCCTGCAATTACATTTCTAAGGATGTACTCAACATATACCCAGGAGAAGCTTAAGCTCCTGTGTTTTGTGTTCTGGGAGATACATTACAACAGTGTTCATAGCAACACCCTTTGTCGTGGTAAAAGAACTGGAAAGAACTTGTATTGTCTTTTACTGTGTAACAAGTTACCAACAACTCAGTGGCCCAAAATAACATATGCTCACTTATATTTTCTGTGGGTCAAGAGTCCAGGTATGGCTTAGCTGGGGCCTCTGCTTCAAGGTTTCTTACAAGGCTGCAGTCCCTCTGAAGGTTCAATTGGGGAAGGATATAAGCTCACTTGGTTGTTGACAGAATCCAATTCCTAGTGGAGTGTTGGACGGAGGGCTTCTGTTATGTGCTGGTTGTTAGCTAGTGGCTGCCCTCAGTCATGGGGTTATCTTCAGGATGGTAGCTTACCTCATCAAAGGCAGCAGGTGAGAGAGTTGAGACAGCTATCAAGAGGGGAGTTATATGTAATGTAATCACAGAAGTGACATCCCATCATATTTGCTGTATTCTATTTATTATTATTATTGTTGAGACAGAGTCTCACTATATCCCCCTCGGTAGAGTGCCGTGGCATCATAGTTCACAGCAACCTCTAACTATTGGGCTTAAGCAATTCTCTTGCCTCAGCCTTCCAAGTAGCTGGGACTACAGGCACCCACCACAACGCCCAGCTAGTTTTTTTATTACAGTTGTCAGTGTTGTTTAGCTGGCCTGGGCTGGGTTCAAACCTTCCAGGCTCCATGTATGTGGCTGGTGCCATAACCACTGTGCTACTTACTGGAGCTGAGCCTGTATTCTATTTATTAGAAGCAAGTCACTGGGTCCAGCCTACATTCAAAGAAAGGGGTACATGTGGGGGTGAAGGCATGGATCATTGGAGGCTGTTGTGGCAGCTCCCCACAAGGAAAAAAGTAATGAAAGGATAAAATCTAGGTTAGTGCTTACCTCTGAGTGGAAGTGAGGGAGGGGGAAGACATGTAAGAAGCACATGAGTAGGTGTAAGTTATTTAAAATCGTTTAGTTCTTGGGGAAGGTGGTGGGTTTATAGGTGTTCATGAGTGAGTCACCTACAGATACTTGGGGAGAGGGTGTCATGAATTAAGGATTATATTTGATGCAATTTGATAATATTAAAAATATTCAATATATTCAATAACAAATTAAAATAAAGAGTGGTGACTACTGCTGACCTTGGTCTGAGCCCCATCCCTGCACTTTGTCTGGTCTTAGGTTAAAACCAGCTCCAGCCTGACCCTCCACCTGCCCCAGACTAACCAGTAGCCCTTCACACACACTGACCCTATCTCTAGCATCATGATCTCTGCATAGTTTACAATAGGTCTCCAGAGTTCTGTTCTCTGAAATGTCCATATAACCATACCTGTAGGCTCCTGTATGCAAAGCTCGACCAGCTCATGGAGGAGTCTGGGGACCAAGAGCTGGGGGGAGAGTATAGTTCTGCCTTGCAGTAGCACAGGGGATCCAGAACACAAGTTTGGTGGCTGGAGTCACTATCTAACCTGTTGGCCTCCACCAGGGCCAAGGCTGGGCCACATCTTGGAGGCTCTTCTTCCTTGAGGCCCCTCCTTCTGGTATCCAGGTATGCCTGAATCTGTCTCAACACACAATCCTATTCCTGACCCTACTAATCACAAATGAAAAGCAAATTGAAAATTTTACTCGTGTTTCTTGAGAATATGAAGGTGGATTATATCACACACGATAGCCCAACAGCTCTTCTTTAAACATCTCTCTTGCTTCCCAAACCGACCCTCTGACAGCCACTGCCCCCACCCCACTCCTTACTCCCCTCTCCCTTTTCTGACCCATACCAAATCTGACTTTCTCTGGTTCATTCACTCACTAATTCCTCAAATATTTATTGAGGACCTAGTATGCTCCAAGTGCCAAAGACACAAAAATGAATATAAAACATGATTCGTGCCCCATGATGTTCACAATCCTACAAGTAAGAAAGGCATGTAAAGGGTATTTAACAGTTTTTTTTTTTTTTTGAGACAGAGTCTCACTATGTCGCCCTTGGTAGAGTGCTGTGGCGTCACAGCTCACAGCAACCTCAAACTCTTGGGCTTGGGACTACAGGCACCTGCCACAACACCATGCTATTTTTTTGTTGTTGTTGCTGTTGTCAATTTTAGCTGGCCCTATCCGGGTTTGAATCCGCCAGCTTCGGTGTATATGACTGACGCCCTACCCACTGAGCTACAGATGCTGCCGTATTTAACAGTTTCTATCTAATTCTTTAAATAGATAAAACATATACAACTATATGGCTCGGTGCCTATAGCTCAACCGGCTAAGGCGCCAGCCACGTACACCTAAGGTGGCGGGTTCGAATCCCCAGCCCGGACCCGCCAAACAACAAGGGCTGCAACCAAAAAATAGCCGGGCGTTGTGGCGGGCGCCTGTGGTCCCAGCTACTTGGGAGGTGGAGGCAGGAGACTCGCTTGAGCCCAGGAGTTGGAGGTTGCTGTGAGCTGTAATGCCATGGCACTCTACCCAGGGGGACAGCTTGAGGCTCTGTCTCAAAAAATATATATATATCTATACAACTATAAAAGCAAGCACATAAGATATGAAAAATGTCCTTGTTCCCTGAACCCTTTAATAGGTAATAACCTCTATCTTCAGGTTTTTTGAATCCTTCCAGAATGTCATTATTGAATATAAGCTGAGGCCAGGCTCGGTGGCTTATGCCTGTAATCCTAGCACTCTGAGAGGCCGAGGTGGGTGAATTGCCTGAGCTCACAGGTTTGAGACTAGCCTGAGCAAGTGAGAGACCCCCATCTCTAAAAAATAGCCAGGTGTGGCTTGGTGCCCGTAGCTCGAGCAACTAAGGCACCAGCCACATACACCAGAGCTAGTGGGTTCGAATCCAGCCCAGGCCTGCCAAACAATGACAACTACAACCAAAAAATAGTCAGCCATTGTGGTGGGCGCCTGTAGTCACAGGTACTTGGGAGGCTGAGACAAGAGAATTGCTTGAGCCCAAGAGTTTGAGGTTGCTGTGAGCTCTGATGCCACAGCACTCTATTGAGGTTACAAAGTGAGAATTTGTCTCAAAAAAAAAAGGAAAGAAAGAAAGAATATAAAATGAAAGAAGAAATGAAAAAAGAATAACAAATATGCGTATTTG